CTGCACCTCCTTCGGTGAATATGGTTTCGTTTGTTAACGATGATGTGTGTCGTCCTTTCCCTCCATCGAGTGAAGACTTGGGTCTTTATGATAGAATGGATGATTTTCAAGAGCAGTTTGACAAGATGCAAAAAGAGATGAAGGCCCTCAGGGGAAAAGAGTTATTCGGGCAGAATGTGAATGAGTTATGCTTGGTCCCGAATGTTAAGATACCTGCTAAGTCTAAGGTCCCGGATTTTGAGAAGTACAAGGGAAACACTTGCCCTCGTGCTCATCTGGTGATATATGTAAGGAGAATGTCTACCCATACTGATGATCAGCGTCTGCTGATTTACTTTTTTCAGGATAGTTTGACTGGTGTTGCGCTGAAGTGGTACATGAGTTTGGATAGTGTTAACATCCATACTTTCAATAATTTGGGAGAAGCATTCATCAAAAAATACAAGTACAACATGGACATGGCACCTGACCGTGATCAACTCAGGGCCATGGTTCAGAAAGACATGGAATCATTCAAAGAATATGCACAGAGATGGCGTGAGGTAGCCGCCCAAGTGATTCCTCCCATGGAAGAGAAAGAGATGACTAAGATTTTCTTGAAAACGCTGGGTGCTTTCTACTACGAGAGGATGGTAGCAAGTGCACCAAGTGACTTTACTAAAAAGGTAGGAATGGGTATCTGCTTAGAAGAGGCTGTAAGAGAGGGCCGTTTAACGAGAAGTGAAAGCTCTGGAGGTGTGAAGAAGCCATCTTATGGGTTTACCAAGAAAAAGGAAGGGGATGCCAATGATGTTATGCAAGAGAGGAGGGTTAATACTCCTAGAAGGAATTATCAGCGTCATCAGCAAGTCGCCTCAGTTACTCCAGTTGTGGGTGCAGCTCCAACTACCGTTGCTTATCAGATACCGTCCCAGCAAGGGAATCAAGGGTATAATCAGAGAAGGGAGAGTTATGAACCTATTCCTATGAGCTATACAGATTTACTACCGGCATTCATTCAGAAGAAGCTGGTTCAGACCCGACCACCTCCCATTGTACCATCACCATTGCCTTGGTATTACAAGGCAAACCAAACATGTGTTTTTCATCAGGGAGCACCAGGGAATAATGTTGAGAATTGTTATCCTTTGAATACTGAGGTGCGGAAATTGGTGAAGTCTGGTATTCTATCTTTCAAGGATGTGGGACCTAATGTGAAAGACAATCCTCTACCCAAGCATGAAGGAGTAAATGTTGTGAATATGGTGGCTGGTTGTCCAAGCGACTTCCGGATTTTTGATATTAATCTGGTTAGAGGAGATTTGGTGAAAATGCATGCAGACCTCTGAATTTAGCTACTACACGCATGACCATTCCGGTTGTTCTATTTGCAGTATAGACATACATGGTTACGATAAGATAAAGGCTGATTTACAAGAGATGATGGATGAGGGCCTCATCCACATAATCATGCTTAGGGCAGAGTATGAAGAGGAGGTGAATATGGTTTCTGGATGTCCTGGAGAATTCATAATTTTTATGTAGAGTATATGAATGAGGACCTTGTGCAATTGCATGCTACTTTCTACCATATGGCTGGTCAGGTGGAATACCAGTACGGATCTTGCGGAATTTGCTGTCGGGACTCCCGAGGATGTTCTTGAGCATCTATAAAGTCTCTTGCTTGTGTGCTTGAACATTGAAGTCATTTACTTGTGTGTTTGGGTATTAGAAGTCTCTTGCTTGTGTGCTTGAGCAACTTGTAATTAGATTCAATTATTGTGAAAATCTCTGGGAAGTGCAATGGGACTAGACTACTCCTGATTAGTAGGAGGAACCAGAATAAATTGCTTGTGTGTTGTCTTTCTCTATTCTCTACTTCTGCTCATTATTATTTTTCTACTATCTATAAAACTCCAAATCATATCTTGAACATTACAATCAATATCTGATATCAGATCTTCAGAAGAAAAAGCAGAAAAAGTCAACACAATTCAACCCCTTCTTGTATTTTTCTCACCTTCAGTGGTGACTGCAAATAACTCAAGCCTTATTGATAGAGACATCTGATATTGGTAAAAATAGACTACCCCATACTCCAAGTCCTCAAGAAGCCAGGTTTAGTCGGAAGAATAGTATCTTGGGTATTCAAGTTGTCTGAATAAGAAACTCAATACATTTCCAAACAAAGCATCAAATCATATGTACTAATAGATTTTCTACTAGAGTTCAGTACGCCAATCGACAAGGATATTTTCCCCGTCCATATCCTTTTGATGGACGAAGCCTCTAACATAAAAGGGAATGGCAATGAGATAATGCTAGAAGGACCATATAACATATTGATTGAGTAGTCATTAAAGCTTGAATTTAAGGCTAGCAATAATTAGGACGAGTATGAAGCTCTCATCGTAACCATTCCCTCGTCCTAGAAGTGGGTGCATCAACTGTAAAGGGCAAGAATGATTCTCAGTTGGTGGCGAAGCAAGTCGTTCACAAGTATCGGGCGAAGAAACCACAACTCATCAAATATTTGAAGAAGGTACATGACTTGTCCGAGCGTTTCAAAACTTTTGAGATAATGCATGTGGTAAAGAAATATAATTCTAGGGCAGACCAGCTGCCTAAGCTTACCAATTCGAAGAAAACAGGTTTTAACTACACTATAATACAAGAAACAATCAATAACCCTAGAACAGAAGCAGAGGAAGAAAAAAATATCGATATCTCCATGACTAGAAGTTGAATGACGCTTTTAATATATCATATACAGTTATGAAAAATGCCACAAGATGAGTTAGAGGCAAATCAAATCTGCGGGCGTGCACCAAAGTGCATTCTGATGTCACGGAGCTCTATAAAATGGGAAGAGCCTCTCCTATGTTAAGGTGCCTAGGGGGAACACGAAATCATCCTGATATTAGTTGAAGTTCATTAAAGGGTTTGTGGCAACCATATTGAAAGGTGAGCCTTGACCCATAAGCTGTTAAGAGCATGTTACTTTTGGCCTTCACTAATGAGGGGCAACACGACATTCATCAAGAAATGTGACAAATGCCATAGATATGATAATCTACATCATGCACCTGTTGAACTCCTCCATTTTATGACAACGCCTTGGCCATTTATAAGTGGAGCATGGAAATTTTCAGAACCTTTTCCTATTGCTCTGACCAACTAAAGTTCTTGGTCGTTGGAGTAGACTACTTCACAAAGTGGATAAAGGCGAAACTTATATCCAAGATTAAGGTAGAAAGAGTTTGTCGCTTTTAATAGCAAAGGATTGTGTGTAGGTTCCGTATACAAGGTATTATCATTTCAGACAATGGAACTTATTTCGCCAATACTATTGTGATATGCTCTTGCAATAACTTAAAAGTACAAACCAAGTTCATATCAGTAGTTCACTCGCAGGTGAACAGACGATTAGAGTGAACAAATGAAGTAATACTGAAGGGGATCAAGAAAAAGATGGATAACGCCAAGGGATTGTGGACTGAGCATCTACACGAAGTGTTATGGTCATATCCCATCACCCCCACTCTACCACTAGGAAAACTCCCTTCATGCCAATGTATCGATCAGACGCCATACTTCTAGTTGAAATCGAAACACCATTATAGTGATGCTCCCAGTTTAACAAGGAGAAGAATGGGAGAGGACTTAGATGTGTCACCGACCTAATGGATGAAACAAGAGATGTCACCCACATCCAATAGCTCCCTGCTAAACAAAGAGTAATCAGGAGATATAACTTCAAGGTTATTCAAAAAGAGATGCATAAAGGCGACTTTTTAGTGCTACGACAAGTTGTAGTTCCCGCCCAACAGGAAAAGCTACAAGCTAACTGGAGGGCCATATCATATATATCATAAGTTATCGAATGAAGCCTACAAGCTCGAGGAATTGGGTGAATGGAATCAGTGAGATATTATTATAGTTAAGTGGTAGAAAGGTGAATCGTCTATTTACGAAAACTCTTATAAAAGACTATGATATTTCCAACAAGTTATTGTGGTTCCGTTGTCTAAGTACATTGTTGAATTTTTGCACATGAAGATCCTTGTCGTTCTACATGGAAATTATATATTTGTACTTCCACAAAAAAATCATTACCTTCGTACGAGTAATTATATTTACGGACTTTCATAGCCTTCTTATGAGACAATTATATTGTTGAACTTCCTCAAAAAAATATTTACCACTCTACAAGATAATTATATAATTGAACTCCACATGAAGATCTTTGCCACCTACGAGGTAATTATATAGTTAAACATAATAAAAAAATAAATATTATTTTTATTGATTTACATCAATTAATTATTAATATATTCTTATTATAATAAATACTACAGTGACAATTCAAGAAAGAGATATAAATTGTATTAACGAAAGAATCCAATAGAAATAATAACAATTAAAGTTACAATAAAAATAACACTGAAAAAAGTTAGAATAAAAATTAAGTGATACTTTTTTAATAAATATCTTTGAGTAAACTTGTCATTAAATATTTATTAAAATATTTTTGAAACTAACTTAAGAAAAATAATATCATTAAATAGTATAGTTGAAGCCGTCAAAGCTTCTAGTCAATATTGACTAGTTAATTGAATTGTTGCAGACCATTCATCGCACTTTCCGCTCAATATCATAAACACATTACTTATTAACCAATATAAATATCAATATCTTATTAATTACTACTGATAACAAATCAAATCAAATCTAAATAACAGATCTTATTAATTATTAATAAACAAATCAAATCTAAATATCGATATCCAATTAATTAACAACAAATCTATTCGGTGTTTAGTGTTTATAAAAAAGCCGAAACTCTTTCTCATTTGATAACATCACAAACGAAGCTATTGTTTACACAGCGTTGAGCGTTCTTTCTCTCTTTTCATTTCATAACATCACAAACGAAGCTATTGTTTGTCTAGCGTTGAGCGTCTTTCGTTCTTTGTTTGTTTGAATTCAACTTCAAAAATCAATTGTTCTAGAAACTCAACATGAAAGAAGTTATTATCCGTGAAGTATGGGCATTCAATTTAGAGTATGAATTTAGTCTGATACGCCGAGCTATCCATCAGCATCATTTCATCTCAATGGATACGGAATTCCCTGGAGTTATTCATTCGCCTAAAATTGACCGCCGTCATCTTCAAACCTCTGACCACTATTATTATTTGAAGGCCAATGTTGATGCTCTTAAGCTAATTCAAGTGGGTCTCACTCTCTCGGATTCTGAGGGAAATCTTCCTGATTTTGGAACCAATAACAGCTATATTTGGGAGTTTAATTTCTCTGATTTCGATGTAAACCGCGATCCTTATAATCAAGATTCTATTGATATGCTCCGCGGTCAAGGAATTAACTTTGACCGCACTTTCTCTCATGGTGTGGATTCAATGCGTTTTGCGGAATTAATGTTCTCCTCTATTCTCATTTTTAACAAATCACTTATTTGGGTAACATTTAGCAGTGCTTATGATTTTGGATATTTGGTGAAGATTTTGACCAGAAAGAATTTGCCTAACCGGTTAGAAGACTTTTTAAGTATAGTGGAAGTATTGTTTGGAAAAAATGTTTATGATATGAAACATATGATGAAGTATTGCAACTGTTTATATGGTGGACTCGAGAGAGTCGCGACTACCCTTAATGTGCGTCGGGCCGTTGGAAAGTCTCATCAAGCTGCATCTGATAGTTTATTGACATTGCATGCATTCAACAAAATGATGATAACTCATTTCAAATGCGATGAAGCACCCAAGCATGCCGGAATTCTCTTTGGATTTGGATTAGAAGTTGCAGTTTAGTGTATAGAGTACATTCAAGTTGTAATGAAAATTGAAATATATAAAATACTCGATTTTTGATTATTTCCTTTTCTTATTTTACAAATATAATCTCATTATCTAAATTCTATTTATGTCTTTTTTTTGGTGGAAGTGTTATACGTACAAAATTTCTATAACAGAGATGGTAAATATTTTGAGATTAGTTGACTACATGAACTATAAATCTCTTTCATTGATATTTCAAAAGGTTAATGTGTAGTATGTTATTCAAATAATCATCTATTTGACAAATACTTCTCAATAGTTAATACATCTAAAATTTGTTACATAATTCACTGCAAAAGGGAATTGCAACTTCCAGCCAGTCAAAATTTACTCTTCCAAATAAAAATATTAGGTAGAAACAAACATGTTATCTGGTTTGGCTTGCAGCAATGGTAAAATCTATTCAATTAAATCCACAAAATATGAAAATATAGACTGTTGCATAACACTTCCAGATACTAATCTGTTTAACTTAATGATATGACGCTTTCCACAAGTAAGCAATTATCAAATCCCAGTTTGATCCATATAAGTATTGTAGATATCGCGCACCTTCACTTAACTGCTTCAATATTCCACAGAGTAGACTTAAATGCTTATAGCAGGTATGCAGAAGTTATAATCCTAAGATCAACTGTCACATGTTATAATCCCTATCTCTCTCACAAGTTTCCATAAAAGTAGAACAAGCTCGGCTTCCCTATCTAGCTTGGCTTCTTCTAACAAGATTAAGCAGATTAAAGCCTCTAGGAATATGGTGGTTCCTTCCCACACGTCATATGCTGATGACATTATGCTTTCCACTAAAGGAAACAGATCTTCTTTGGATGCTAATGCTAATCTCTTTCAACAATATGCTGATTTCTCAGGTCAGGTTTGTAATACATCCAAGTCAATTTTATATGCTGGTTCAAGGTCAGTTGCTAGGCATGGTATGTTGGCAAATAGGATTAGTTCCACTATGGGTCAGATTCCTTTTATTTATCTTGGAGTTCCAATCTTCAAAGGGAGACCAAAAAAAGCTTACCTTCAACCAATTGCGGATATAATCAAAGGTAAACTTACTGCATGGAAAGCTTCACTCTTGTCTATAGCTGGGAGAATTCAATTAGTAAGGTCAGTAATTCAAGGAAGATAATGCATTCTATTATGATATACTCTTGGCCTGTGAGCTTAATTCAATATGTAGAGAAGTGGTGTAGGAATTTTATTTGGAGCGGGGATACCCAAAAAAAGAAAACTTGTGACGGTAGCTTGGAATCACTGTTGTAAAGACTTCAAGAATGGAGGCTTGGGATTGAGATCACTACGTTTGTTGAATGAGGCTACAAGCTTGTATCAATGCTGGTGCATCTCGAATGACACTGAAGATTGGGCAACTATTTTGAGGGTCAGGGTTTTGAAGAACGGTAATCCGGTTAATTACCACGTTTACTCTTCCATCTGGACTGGTAGCAAGGAATATATTGGGGGGAGTTGGATCAAAATTCAGCCTGGTTAATTGGAAAAGGGAATCACATTAACTTGTGGTTGAAAGACTGGTTGATATCATGCAGGTTCCTCCTATTTTACATCACAATTTGAAAGCCATGCTTCAAGAGATCATCGAGGGCAATTCCATAACCTTGCCTCCAAGCTTGGTCCAGTTGTGTCCTGCTCTGCCCCAGCTTACTGCTAATGTGTTCATCAATCCGTTGAAGGAAGATATGAAGGTTTGGGAGCCAGAGAGTAGTGGACAGTTATCAGTTAAAGCTGCATATGGTCATCTTTCTAGTGTCCGCCAGGCTACTGCATGGGGAGGGATCATTTGGAATTCTGCAATTCTGCCCTCGAAATCCATTCTGTTTTGGAGATTAGTGTTTGGGAAGTTGTCAACTGATGACAACTTGCAGTTGGGGGGTCTGCATATGCCCTCTTACTGTAGTCTGTGCACGCGCGACGGTGAGACCTTGCAGCACTTATTTTTCAGTTGCAGGCACGCTGAAATATGTGGACCTGGTTAGCGACCTAGTTGAACAGATGCCCTCCCATCAGATGTCTGGAGGACTGCTGGAAAGTCATGGATAGTAGTGGTTCTATGCAGTGCAGAGTTGTGGTCATTGCATTTGCTGCGATGATCAACACTGTGTACAGAATCTGGAATGCTAGAAATCTAGTTCGTTTTCAAGACAGTTTCAAACGTTGGAAGTTTACTTGCTCCTCCATTATTTCTTTAACCTCATTGTCAGACAATCTTACTTCCAAGAGGACCAATTCATCAAATTCAGGACTTTGTTGTCCTAAAGACTTCATGGATAATATGAAGAAAAAAAAACCTAGTCAAAGAAAATCACATTACTTAAAGGAGACAGCAGATTTTTGAATTTAGATGAGTAAAGCACCTGCTCCATTAGAGTGATGCCAATCCAATACTGAGTTAATTTTGGCTCTCCTGAAAACATCAGTTGGATAGCTGAAACATCAACAAGGAAAGGCGTTGAAACAACTAAGTAATAATTATAAGCCCTTTTATCCATAATGCATGGAAACTAGTTCTAATTCAGATTACGAAGATTAGGGGATCCCATTGCACAAATCTACACAACAACTAAATTTTCAAGACACTGAAGTAAATTGAGACTCACATTCGTAATTAAAAGAACAGCGGCTTACCAGCTCCTCTGAATTATTTTGCATGACAAATTTAAAGAACAGACAAGCTAACATATGTAATGCCAATTCTGCACTTAGACTTGATTCATGTATCTTTGAATCAATTGAATTTATTATCTGCTAAACTTAGCAATCTCAATGAGTCTCAATACAGAGTCAGAAACTTTACCATCGAAGATTCAAGCCACACTTGCAACTAACAATGTATATAATGTTAGACATGGCTAATTAGTCACATAAAGCTGTCAGGTATGTTACACACATGGTTGATAGGTCACATCTTGGAAATTATGGGAGCTTTAATCCCAGATTTAATTTGGCCATCTTTTTTACTAGATTGCTGCACTGAAAGCCTCGTTTTGAGCTTATAGAGGACATTATGAACTTCAAAATGTGGCTTCGTTGCATTTTTTGTGCTCTCAATCCACTGTTGAACTTTCTTGTATGGGCCAATATTAATATGATCATGATCCTTCTTGTCGAAAAGCTGTATCCAAAAAATATGTAATTATCACCGTATTATCAGCATTATGTTCTGCATGTCACAATTCTAGTTAAACAGAATTTAATCAGCTCAACATTAACTGTAGGAAATATTTCCCCTCTTTAGCCAAACCAAACTCAAATAGACATGCCATACTTTCCTTCTGTGTTTCTCGATTTTTCAACCATACAATGCAAATTGAACAAGACCTTTACAATTTATTTTCTTTGAATTCAAAGAAAAACCTCAACAAAAAAATCCTTAATGAATGACGGCATGAAGGTTATAGGAATTCCCCAGTCCCCAGTTTCCCTGTAATGTCATAATTTAACAGACAAGACTGAGATCTGCTGTGGAAGGTCGGAAGCTTCTGATAGACTTTGTTAATGTAGAGAGAATAGAAGGAATGAAAGAAATTCTCATTGTATATTTTTGTGTATAGAAAGATACAAAGAGCCTGCTATATATAGTGGAGCAAGTCTAACAAACTGTGACAACAAGCTGCCAGCTCAGCAATAATAGAACACACACATATTCCACTACTCTATCCACTACTGAAATAGTCACACTTATTTCACTACATTATACCACTACTCTATTAGTCCCCCTTAGAATCTGCTGGTGGGTGTTTCAAAGCAATTTTGTCTAACACGCGCAACTTAGAACGCAGAGGTACAAATTTGGCAGCAGATAAGGGTTTAGTAAGAATGTCAGCCCACTGATCATGTGCTGGAACATGAACCACAGAGAGGTGTTTGCTGAGAACCTTCTCTCTCAGAAAAAATATATCTAGTTCCATATGCTTGGTTCTGTTGTGTAGGATAGGATTATGAGCAAGAGTGACAGTGCTCAAGTTATCACACAGGATCCTAGGCACCTGACAGGAGCAGTGAAGTTCCTGAAGTAAAGACTGAATCCAAATGAGCTCAGCAGCCAATTGAGCCATGCTGCGGTACTCTGCTTCAGCACTGGATCTAGCAACAAGCTGTTGCTTCTTGGACCACCAGGAAACAACATTTGGACCAAGATAGATACAGGCCCCTGAAGTGGACCTCCTGTCATCAGGATCTGATGCCCAATCTGCATCACAGAATCCTAATAATTGCATAGGCTGCTGGACAGGGGCAGGTTGAATGAGTAAACCATGATGCAGAGTGCCACCTAAGTACCTCAAAATCCTCTTGACTGCCTTCCAATGATCCTCTAAAGGATTGGATAGAAACTGACAAACTTTGTTGACAGAAAAAGAGATCTCAGGCCTAGTTAAAGTGGCATATTGCAAGGCACCAACAACTGACCTAAAGTGAGTTGGGTCTTCCACAGCAGCTGAGCCAACTTTGGATAATTTGCTGCTGGAAACCATGGGAGTGGGCATGCCATTAGCATTGAGCATATTAAGTTTGGTCAGTAGATCAGAGATGTACTTGGTTTGAGATAGAAGCAAAGAACCATTAGAGAGATGAGAGACTTCAAGGCCTAAAAAATAATCAAGCTGTCCCAATTGTTTCAGTGAAAATTTGTTGTTGAGGTGCTTGATTAATGAGGTAATAAAGGGAGCTGAACTGCCTGTGATGATAATATCATCAACATACACCAGAATCATGACCTGAAGCTTGCCTTGATGCAGCAAAAAGAGACTAGGATCACACCTGCTAGCTTGAAAACCAAGTTGAACCAGTGCACTCTTCAATTTATCAAACCAGGCCCTAGGAGCCTACTTTAAACCATAAATCGCCCTGTTCAATTTACACACCAGTGACTTGTCAGCTGCTTCAAAACCAGGAGGCTGCTGCATAAACACTTCCTCTTCAAGAGTGCCATTGAGGAAAGCATTATT